GCAATTTCTTACCTACCACCCGATGCGTGACGCCACCACCCGGGCGTGTCTTGACCGTGCTCCCACATGCCCCACGTGACCCAGGGCCTCCGACGGCACGATTTTTTGACAGTCGCCGCCAGAGCCAGGAGCCCTCGACCTGTTCCCCCCTGCCGCCCCGGGACCAGGGTTTCGCCCCGACTCCTCCTCCTCCTCCTCCTCCTCCTCCTCCTCCTCCTCCTCCTCCTCCTTTTTTCCTCCTCCTCCTCCTCCTCCTCCTCCTCCTCCTCCTCCTCCTCCTCCAGGGGACCAAGGTCTTCGGGATGGTCCCTTGGGCCCAGAAGCTGCCCCGGGAGCCAGGGCGTGGCTTAGTAACCGCTGGGGAGATCTTTTCGAGTCGCCAGGTGTCTGGCTCCCAGGGTGAAGGGGCTCGACTCCCGGACCTGTCCAAGGTGCGGTACGTTCTGGTGAGTATTTTGCCGGGAAGCCAGCCGTGGCCACGAGGGCGCCTTCGAGAGGCCGTAGAACAGCGAAAGACATCCCACACCTCGATCCTGGGTCCTCCCTCGCGCCGTACACCCGGTGGCCAAAAAAGGGCCCCCTGGAGGCCTCCCACCAAATACAAGCAGTTATCAAAAACATGCATTCTTGATCCCTCGATCCTGGAATCCTCAATCCTGAGTCCCTCCCGCCGTCTGGCTCGACGGCGCAGTACACGTGGATGGCCAAAAAGGGCGCCCCTGGGGGTGTGAAAAGCTGGAGAGGTCCGAATACCTCAGCTCTGGAGCCTCGATCCTGAGTTCTCCCTCCCGACCTTCTTATATACATCATTATCTATCTGCACATAAAACTACATATTTATAAGAAACGTACAACAAGTCCTCCCTCCCGGCTTCTGCCCCCGCGGCGTCGTGCACCCGGAGGCCCCGCAAAAGGGCGCCTCTCGGGGCCCTGTCGGTGATCCATTGGCGATTGGGGGTCGATGCCTCCCCCCCTAGACGCCTGTCCCCTCCTGATGCTGCCCCCGAGGCCTTCCCCTTCCCTTCCCTCCCCCCTCCGCGAGCTTTGGCAGTGCGGCTCGAGGCTCCGTCGAAGAGGCTCGGCGCCCCACGCGTTCGCACGTGAGGCCGTGGTGGCGTGCGCCTTCCCGGGCGCCTGAAACCAAGAGAGCTACGATGGCACGATAGTCGGGAACTTCGTGCCCTGTGTCTCCCCCTGCGATCGGCACGCACGAGGCCCACGACGATGCGAAACGTGCTGAAATTCCTATCACGTGTCTCTCCGCGGGGGTCGGGCCCCGCCCGCTCCGGCCGCCTGAGGCCCCGCCTTCCTGTGCCCTGTCTCCCTAATTGAAGCTGTGCGTAGCCCGCCTAGCTTTTAGCGGAAGAGGTTCGCTCTCGCCCCGCAGATCAAAAAAGTGTCTCTCCGCGGATCCGTCAATCCCCGCGGGTTCGGGACATGTCGCCGCGCCGTTGGTCCTCGACGCGCCCGAGTGGGCGACGCCGGCACCACGGCACACCCGCGGCAAACCCTGCGCCCCGCGCCACACGCAGACGAGGCCGGCGTCGCGGCAGGTCCACAGCAGAACCCACCGCGCCCGAGGCGGCGTTTGCCCTGGTGGCCGCGGCGCCCTCCTCAAGACGCAAGGCCGCGCGTCAAAACAGAGTGCGCGGCGGCGTATTCGTACAGTAGGAGCTCGACCACAAGGAACCTTCCACAACAAACGCAACCCTGAGACCTCAGGACGCCCGTTGATTCTTGGTGTTGGGAAGTCACGCTTTGTCCATCGCAAAACCACCGAGACCCAAGAAACCCAGGGCACCCTGGAGGCAAACAGGGTGTTCCTTGGCATGGGTTTCCACTGTATCGGGGATCTTCTGACCCAGGTCAATCCAGACCCGGGTCAGCAGGAAACCAAAAACTGCAATGCAGGACAAAAAAAACTGCAACGCAGGTCTTCGCAAACCCTGGTCAGCCAATATGCGCGGCCGCCTCGCGGCCACGAGCGGCTCGCTACCCCGGGTCAGCTAGAGGGGGTCTTCGCAGGATCCTGCAGGATCTGGTGCCCTGGCTGACCACCGTTTGCATTGACCCCCGTCTCAAGGCTCCCGACTGTATTCGCATCCCCTCCCCCTCGCCCTCGCCCTCTAAGGGCCTTCCGGCCCCACGGCGTCGTACACCTCGTCGCCAGCGCCCTGCGCGCCCGAGAAGCACAGGCGAGGCCGCAAGTCGAGCGCGGGCAGCAGGTGGCCGTCCTTCGACGCCTCGCCGACGACGACGCGGACGACGCGGGCGACGCGGACGACGCGGACGACGGCGACGGCGACGACGCGGACGACAGCGACGACGCGGACGACGGCGGCGGCGACGGCGGCGACGACGGCGGCGGCGACGACGACGACGACATGGACGACGGCGACGACGACGCGGACGACGACGACCTTCTGGCAATTTTTGGGCGTCTCTGGCGGTGTGGACGCCGAGGACGGCGACGACGCTCCAGAGGTGCTCGAGTGTCCGGGCGCCTCTGGCGGTCCTCGCCGTCACGGCTGGGCGCGAGTCGAGAAACTGGGTGGGCACGAGGGACCCCGGGAGGGGGCCCGGCACCGCTCCTGAGCGTGCTGTCGTTGGACGGCGGCGACGGCGCCGAGCAGATGAGGAGGGGCGGCGAAGCCGCGTAAAATCTCGGGCCGTGGGAGCGAGGAGCTGCTCTGCCCGGTCCTGGTTGAGGGCGCGACGACTTCCAGACTCGAGCCCTGGCCTGAGCCAAGGTGGCCACGGGGGGGTGGGAGGAGGTCACGGAGAGGAGGGCGGAGGGCCTCCTCCTCGCCTTCCTCCTTTCCCCCTCCAAATCGACCACCTGGACCTTTCCTGGGGAGTGGTCTGGCCAGAATTTCCAGGGGGATCTTACCATGGTGACAAGATGGGCCCCCTGAAGGTCCCAAAATGTTAGCCAGCGTGGACCTAAAACAGTGTTTCTGGCAATCCATGTCGTGCAATCTATTTGGTCCTATCTATGCTGTACATCTACATATGCATTTGCAAATGCATACATGTGCATACATATATATATATATAATACATATATATATATACACATGCATGTCTGTGTATACGTAATGCAGTTTATGCGATGCAATCTACGTTGTGCAATGTATGTGGTGCAATCTATGCTGTGCAATCTATGTCGTGCAATGCTGTGTGCAGGCGCGAACAACATAGTGTGCAACCAATGTGTTGCAATGTGTGTGTGTGTGTGGGCAGTTTATGTGGTGCAATATGCGTCGTGCACCTTATGCGGTGCAATCTACGTGGTGCAATCTGTGTTGTGCTACATCGGCTGTGCAATTTAAGTGGCTGTGCATCATGCGTTGTGCAACATCTGTGGTACACTCGATGTTTTGTAATACATACATATATATATGGTACAACCTAAGTGGCTGTGCAATATCAGTTGTGCATTCTGTGTGGTGCAATATAGTTGTGCAATAGATGTGGTGCAATCTAGCGACGGCGGGGCGGCGACGGCGGCCACATAGCCGTTAGAACGAAGACGCGGCCCGGTTCCTTAACACAGAAGTGAGAACCACAATGTGCAAGCACCGATTGGGGAACATGTGGAATGCGCCAAAGAAACTCGAGCCCCGATCCCCCCTCCCCTCCCAAACACGACCTTCCCAACGACGGTCCTCCTTCCCGATCCCCCCTCCAACGGCGACGGCCCTCCCTCGCGCCCTCCCATCGCCCGTTTTTTCTGTGAAGACGCTGGGTGTCTGCGTCCCTGCTTGCGGCGCGGTTAGGGGTGTGGCGAAGGGGCGCGGCCTTCCACGAAGGCGGGGGGCTTCGTAGAAGGCAGGGGCCTCCTCGGACGCGCCTGGAGGCTCCCGCGAAGGCTCTCCTCCGAAGCCGCGAGGGCCTCCCAGAGGCCACCCGCCTCCCTGGACCCCCCCCCCGCCGCCCTCCTGGAAGGCCGCGCCCCTCGCGCTGCCCCCCGAGTTCGCGCGCCAGTCCTCCTCCCCAAGTAGAGGCCTCCTAGATGGGGTCGGAATAGATGGGGTCGAAGGATCGCGCCGCATCGGCGATGCTTCGACCCCATCTGCTCCGACCCCATCTGGGAGCAGACCAGACCCCCGACGTCCTCCATGTCCCACGGCGTGGGCCTCCGAGGCCTGGAGTCTCGAAATCCCTCCCCAGGCACCGGCTCTTCGCCCCGAGTCGGTTCTTGACGGCCTGGGGGGCTCGGTGAGGGCCACTGGAGGCCGAGAAGGGCGTAACAACGTTCGTTCCCAGTCATGCGATGTTTGTTGTTTGGTTTTCGTTTATTGCTGCTATATATATATATATGTGTATATATATATAGATATATGTGTGTACATATATATATATATATATATATATATATATACTGTACATCGACAAAATGTTGCACCACGTTTGCTGGGCATTGGCACCTGCACTGCATTGCTCTTGCCCCCCCCTTTCCCCCCGATCTTAATATTGGGTGCATGGCGAAGAGCCCCTGTTCCGCCCGGGGGCTCCCGACAAAATGTTGCACCACCGAGCTGTTTCGACCAGCCCGGGTCCGAACCCAATATTAAGATCGGGGGGGAGGGGGGGGGGACACACGATTGATACGACAGCGATGCGATTTATTGTCGGCGCCAGGTGGTGCAACATTTTGTCGATGTACCGTATGTACACCTTGTTTTAATACATTCATACGGGATCCCTGGAAGACCCGACCGCTTCCACTGGGCCGGGCTTTCATCCCCAGCCGATTTTTGGATGGTCCTGGGGGCCGGCGAGGGCCCGCAGGGGCCGAACACGCCCAAAGCCTCCCGTCGTGCTCCTCTGATGACGCGAGCGTGTCTGGGGTCGCGTCATTTTTCGCATCGCGAGAGACCAGCGAGGGTGAAGACGACGATCATCGACGGCGACCGCCGCCTGCGCGCTGCCGGCCCGGGCCACCTCGGAGAGGAGCGGCCGCGGGGGCCGCATGCCCTTCGTCTGCTCGACGCGCAGCTGCCACCAGCCTGCCCGACGGGGGGGGGCCCAGACGTGCTCGCGTCGTACAAAACAATGCTCCGATGGTGGGGCCCCGCAGGAGAACCTCTTTGGCGTGCATGTGCGTGACACTCGACAACATACGGTGGAGATGCTGTCAGGATGCCAGGCCAGGATGCCAGGACACTAACATGCCAGGGGTGGTGCCAAGATGCCAACGTACCAGGATACCAAGACGGGAAGTTTTTCGCCATTGTCTTCCTCCAGGGGCCCTCGCCAGGCCCTAAGGCCGTCAAAAGACGACTCTTGATGAAAAATCGGTCCCGGGGGCAGGGTCGGGACTTCTGGCAACCGCGTGTGGAAACAATCGAGACATCGCAGGGTTGCGCCGAGTCTGGAGCAACGCTGCCCTCGTTTCGACCCGGCTTCCAGGGGCGGATCGGACCGGGCGTCTCCTTTTCTTCCTCTTCCTTATCCTCCTCCTACTCCTCTTTTCCTCCTGTCGCTGTCGCTGGTGGCTTTGGGGTCTGTTACAGACGCCGACCCCCCTGGAGGACGTCGCCGCATGGGGGGGGGGGGTGAAAAAGAAGTCTTGAAGAAGTGCAAGTGGAAGAAGAACATGGGCCTTCCGCCTGGCACGTTGTCATCCTCTTCCTCTGCCTCCCCCTCCTCCTCTCCTCCTCCTCCGCCTCCTCCTCCTCCTCCTCCTCCTCCTCGTCCTCCTCCTCCCACGTGAAGACCGCTCCAGTCGGGTGCCAACCCGCGAAGCGTGGGTTTACTGTTGCGGCGACGCCTGCTCACGGGAGGGAGGGGGGGAGGGTCGCGGCAACGACGGCGCAAGAACCCAGTCCTCCAGCGTTGACGACCGGACCACGCTGACCCGGGCCCCGCGATCTGAGGGCCCGCTTTCCAGTATGGGTGCGGCTTGTCGGGCCCCGATTGGGTCTCCCATTCGAGGAGGAGGAGGAGGAGGAGGAGGAGGAGGAGGAGGAGGGGGAGGAGGAGGAGGAGGAGGAGGGGGAGGAGAAGGAGGAGGCGGAGGAGGAGGAGGGGGAAGAGGAGGAGGAGGAGGAGGAGGACCCCCACCCGATAAAACGCACACCCAATAGCTTCGCCCGCCACCCCAGGGTCGTATCTGTATGGGTGTCAGCTGCCAGCTCGTGACGAGCGCCGAAAAATCAGCACGGGCGTGCGTCACCGAGGGCCCCCGCCCGGCCCCGTGGCCGCCCCAACACGGACTCGGGATGCGACGCCAGCCCTCGAGAGAAGGGGTCGGGATTACCCGGGGATCCTGGCCGAACAAACTCTACACCGGATCTCTGGACGGCGTCGAGCCGATAACCTCGCGGAGCAGCGAGAGGTGGAGTGGGCGCATCTGCCCTTCCCCTCCGCCCGCCAGGTCGATGTCTCCCCGCCGCTCCGACGCTGTGGCTGGGAAGGCCCGGGTGGGCGAGTGGGAAGAGCCCGTTGCCCCTCGCGCGGGGCGTCAAAGAGCTCGGCCGGGAGGGAGGATCGAGGTTCGAGGAAGATGGCGGACGGCGACGACTGAGGAGGAGAATGCTGACGCGGAGGAACGGCGAGGTGGGGGGGTACACGTCGTTTATTTCTAATCGTGCTCATTTCTAATTGTGTTCGTTTCTAATTGTTCCTGGCCCCCTAGTGGCCAGGAAAAGTCCCAGGATAGCATACATAGAAATGAAAGGATCTTGGCCCCGCAAAAAATCAAAGAACGTCCGAAGAATTAGAAATGAACAATGTGTATACCTCCTCGGGCCGCGTCAAGAAATCAAGACAACGTTTGTTTGTTTGCTTGTTTGTTTGTTTTCATCGGGCTCCGGAGGAGCCCTTCTCGGGCCCTGGGGCCGTCCGACAACGGCTGGGGGCGAAAAACTGGTCCTGGGCAGAGGGCCCCCAGACCTCTGGGGGGGTCCACGCTGTGAGCAAACTGCGACGTCGGAGGCCCTGGGGGAAGGGGGGGAGGGAGGCGAGGAGGATCGAGTCTCGAGGTATCTGGACGCCTCACCCCGTTCTTGGAGCCCTTGGTTTGCGGGGAGGGGTCCCATGGTATTTTGCAACAGTGGGTGCCTGGATGCAGTCGCTTGCGCGCTGGATGCCATCGTTGCGCGTATAGATCCAATGCTGCGGCTTTTTTCTCACGTGCAACAATCTTGTCGCCCGCGCAATGCTCTTCGTGTGCCCGCAGATCACGCGCTGGCGGCGCGTGCCCAGCGTCCTGGCTGCCCCCCCCCACCGCTCCTCTCCTCGGCCAGGAGCTTTTACTCCGCGGCGGCCCCTGCAGCACGCTCTGCCCTGCACTGGCCATCGCTCGGACGTCCATTCCCTGCGCTTTTTTCGGTTTCGTGCGTGGTTTTTTCGCCTAATGATCAAGGATGCTCCTCGATCGCCCTCGCCGAGAAAAAATGCACACGTCCGAGCGAAGTCAGGTGCAGGCCGACGGCGTGTCGCGCCGCTTCGGGGTGCGCGAGGCCGGGAGACGCCCGCGACGCCGATGCTCGGGAGCTGGGACCTGCTCGGCCTGTCGCGCCGAGGCGCGGTGGGCCAGAACCGGCGTCGCGACGCGCCGAGTACACGTTCCTGGCCGCATCCCCCTGGGATTAGTCGGGCGTGTCCTCCTGCAGGGGGATTGTGGGCGAAAAAAAAAAAGAAACACTCAGAAAATTACCCCCCAAATGCTTCAAAATAGTAAAAACATAGTCCCCAGACTATTGTTGGACTATGTTTGAATATTCCCCCTGTAGAGGGACGGGCCCGACTTAACCCTGGGACCCTCCCTCCACCTCTGCGCCGCGTTGAAAGCTGCTGGCGGCAGCGCAGGCAGGAGGAGCGAACCTTGAAAAGTAAGAGGCGCCTCTCGGCGAGTCCTCGGGGAGCGCGCCGCGACTGGTACGATTCAGCCGGGTCAGGGGTCCTAAATTTCAAACGTGTGAAACGAGAGGGAGGCGACGAGTTTACTGTAGTGCCAGCGGGTCGCGTCTGGCAGACGCCTATTCAAAGAACGTCTGGAGGACGTCTTGATGCGAGCCAAGTCACACTTCGCATGACTGCTCCGCGCCTCGCGATGGGCAGTAAAAGATGCAACGACTACTCGGCCACGCCTTTCGCACGACACTTCAGTGGGTGCGGTGCAGCGAGAACTTCCTGCAGACTCTTTCTGGAGCGTCGCCTCCGATCCTGGCGTCTCTCCTTTGCCCTGCCCCAGCACGGGAGCGGGAGTGCAAGCGTAGAGCGAGGCGATCAAGGGCGAGCGGCCAGCCAGGGGAAGAGCTGCCGACCAGCCCCTTCCTTGCCCGAACGACGGCGCCCACCCCGATCTCAGGGCATGTAAAGGCACAGCGGCACCCAGGGTGTATAAAGCCACAGAGTAAGCGGGATTCGCCCCCCCATTCCACCTCCTCCTCCGCTGACCTCTTGTCCTCCCTCCCCCCCCCCCATCCTCTCAAACTCCTCCCACCATTTTCGTTCCCCCACCTTTCCTCTATTCTCGTCGTCTACGTTTCGACTTGTCGGAGAGACGTAAGACTCGGGTTCGAGGGACTCGGGTTAGCCTGATGGTGCCGTCAGGCAACTGACGAGACCCAATCTGAATTTTGCCGCGAGCTCACGCTGCACACATTCCACGAAGCCTTAGACCGCCAGAATTCAAGACGGGCCCGTCCAAAAGCATCGGCAATCCCGAATTCCGGCGAACTCGAGTCCTATGTACGTTCCCCTGACATTTCGGGATGGCCAAATCTCTGTATCACTGGCGATTTGACTGCCCTGGCAATCATGCAATCTGCTGCGTCGCTCGCGACCGCGGCTGAGCAAGGCGAGGCCGCCAGCGGTCGTACACAGAGCACCCGCCTGGCCCCGAAGGTGGCGCAGCGAAACTCACCGCGCGCTTTGCACCCCGGGGGGGCCTGGCATCCTGAGATCCTGGCGTCGCACTTGTTTCGAATCGGGTGTTCTCGCATAATTTCGGGCCCTGGGACCCTGTCGCAGAAAGATGGTATCCAGGGCGCCGGTCGTGAATTTTCACGATGGTGTACTTCTCTGCGCGTCGTCGGATCTCAGGGCGCGTCGGCCACGGGCGCTATTGCTCTGTGCCCTTTGCGCTCGCTGCTGCCTCTTGGCCTACTCGCGTGCGTGACGGGCCATTTTGCTCTTTGCTCCCCTGGATGTCCCCCAACGCCGCGTGGAAAGCAACAGAAACACCTATGAGCGCCATCCTCTCTGATGCCCCGGCGAAGACATGCGCTCGCTGTCCTTGGGAAAGTGAGCGCTAAAGTCAAGTGCGAGCGCGTTCACTGGGGGAACCACAAGGGTTTCAGAACAGAGAGGACGCTTACACCATCCTGCACGAAACCGCAATCAGGGTGCTGCAGATAGTCTGCACCAGGCAACTTGTGAGAGAACGGCGATCAAGTGCAGCTGTGCCCTCAGAGCAGAGCAGGTGACAGCACGCCGTTCCCATCAACAGTATCGAGGCAAAGCGGAATGTTTGCCTGCCACGGGGGCGCCTAGAGAGGGTACACTACTACTCAAGGTTTCCCTGGGTACGGAGCTCGAGTGACTGTCCCGCGCTCGTGCCCGCATCCATATCTACAGAGAAGTCGAGGACGATAGTATCGCGACTGCTCGGGCCAAGGGAGACTGGCGTTATAGTCAACCCGCCGTAACATAAGGATGCGCGGTAAGGATGCAAGGTCCTTGGAAAGCCATGCCGACACTTTGCGAGCGGGGCGCGGCCAGCGAAAGTCGCTAAGGATGGGCCGTGGGGGCAAGGATGCAGGGGTACCCTTGGGAAGGTTGCCCATCCTTGTTATGCGGGTTGACTATATGGAGCCTGAAGTCAAAGGGCGAAGAGAATAATCCGACGACCCTGTCAGCGTGTGGAAGAGGCTGTTTCGTTTGACTCGTCTTCGTCGACGTCGTCGCCGTCTCCGTCGCCGCTCCCTCTCTTTCCCTGGGCCCGTCGCCACCCTCCCCTTTTCCTGGGCCCTTCCCCTCAAGCGAGCCAACCAAAACGCAATTATAAGCAACGGCGTAATTGAGTCGAAGAAGCCCCTTCACTTTGATCCCTTCCCCGCCAAGGGGGGCGGGCCCCAGGTCAGAATGCCCCCCCCCCCGGGGGGGGCCGGGGCCCCCAAGAGTTCCAAGACGAGCCAAGAGTTCCCCAAGAAGCCCCCAAGACGGTCCAAGAGGACCCCGGATCGCCGAACGATCGGTCCAAAACGTCTCTACGGCCTCCAGACGGCCCAAGAGGGCTGGAAGACGCTCCAAGAGGCTTGCAGATCACTCCCACGAGAGCCCCAAGAGACAACATTCATTGATATTCCTGAAGATTTTCTTCAAGGATTTGGGCGTTCTCGCCTTTTCAGCTTCCCGACGCTCCAAAAAGGCCCCAGAGGCTCCAACGATCGCCCCAAGAGGCCTCCAAGAGGGTCTCGAAACGGGCCTCAGAGGGCCCGAAGACGGCCCCAAACGCCTGCAAGACGGCACACGAGGCCCCCAAGAGGGCTCCGAAAGGGCGCCAAGGCAGGGGAACCAAACGGACATTTCGAGCCCTCGGCCCCGAGGGGCTGCCCGGTGGCCCCAAGAGGCCCCCCAGAAGGCCCACGAGATGCTCCAACAGGCCCCCAAGAGGCCCCCAGGGAGCCCCACGAGGCTCCCAAGATGCCCCCAAGAGGCTCCCCGGGTGCTCCCGAGGGGCCCCCCCAAACTGCCCCCCCAGAGGCCTCCCCCGAAGAGACCCCAAACAGAATCCCTGAGGACTCTGATCCACGTCAGCGTCGTCGTCGTCGTCGTCGTCGTCGTCGTCGTCGTCGTCGTCGTCGTCGTCCCCTTTCAGGGTCGGCGGCACCGGCCGTAAGGCCTTCGCAATACATGAAGCATGGGCCCTGTCGACAACTCGGCAACACCGGGTGGCAATGATGGACGAAGCTGCCCCGCGCGACTCACAGGATCGTCGCGCCTACACCGTAGCGCTCCGATGCGCCGGGCAAGGCAGGGGCAACTCGCCAGCGGCCGCCGCTGGCTGCCCTGGATACGCGGCGCTCCTCGGGGTGAAGCAGGCCGACGCGTCCGCGGGCACGAGCGTAACCATGCCCTGCCAGGACAGCTCCTCCAGCCACCCCATCCGCGCTCCAGGGTGGCCAGGCCCGCTCCGTGAGCCCGGGCTTGCCGAGAGCGGCGGCGCGGGGCCACTCAGGATGGAAACGCCCGACTTGCACGACGGTGACCTGACGAGCTGCCCCCCGAAGCAGGGCGTCGGAGAGCTGGAGATCGACGATGCGGCCTCGGAGGGCGTTGGAACGCGCGTCGACGATGTTGCCGGCGACTGCGCCCCGGCTGGTGCTTGCCAAAGCGGCGTCGACGCCATCTCCTTTCTGGGCGAGGCCAGGTCGAAAGAGGCCCGCCTCGGCGAGGGCTCGCAGAGCGCCAGGCGTGACTGCAAGTCTGCGCTCCTGGAGATCTCCTGGGCCAGCTGCTTCTGGAGGCTGCAGATCTCGCGGTCCTTGGCGATCCGCTCCGCGAGGCCCAGGCGCGGGCTCGCCTGCAGGGCCGGGTCCGCCCAGGTCGGCTGCAACGTGGCCGCCAGCAGCCGTGCCTCGAGCAGCTGACTTCTCGACCGCTCCTCGTCCAGCTGGGCCTGCAGCTCCGAGAGCCTCGACTGCAGCGCGCACAGCGCGTGGGCGCCGCCAGGGCGGACCTCGGCCGCCTCGGCCTCCACCGGCTTCGCCTCGAGCTCCTGGCCGCTCTCGCGAGCCTGGCCCTGCGGGGCCGGCAGCGCCGCGGCCTCTGCCTCGGCCTCTCGCCGCGGGAGCACCTCGTCCTCCAGCGAGCTGGCCAAAGTGGGCTCCAGGATTGCACTCTTGATCGGCAGAGGGGTCAAGCTCGGGGCCTTCGTGGGCAAGCCGAGCGCCCTGGCCACAGCTTCGCCATCCCCGCGCCTCTTGGAATGGAGCTTCGGCACCTCCTTGGCAAGGCCCGCGAGGCAACTCCAGCACATGGCCGCCTCGGACCTGACCAGCTGCCGCTGGCAACGCTTGCGGGGGGCAGGGGTATAGAGCGGTGGGAGGGCCAGAGATCGCCCTGAGGCCAAGACCTATCCAGAATCGAACAAATCGCTTGAGCCACGACGGTTGCGGATGATGATGCCGCCGAGGATGATGGTGATGATGCTGCTGCTGCTGCTGATGATGATGATGATGATGATGATGATGATGATGATGCTGGTATTGCTGCTAGTGCTGATGCCGAGAATGAATACAATACGCGTACGACGATGCTGATGATAACTACGATGCGGTTTTTGTTATGACGCATGTGATGGTGAGTATGATGATAATGGTGATGCTAATGAGGATGATGATGCTGCTGATGTTGATGATGATTGTGATACTGATTCTGATGATGCTGCTGATGATGATGATGCTCCTGCTGCTGCTGCTGATGAGGATGATGCTGATGATGATGATGAGGAGGAGGAGGAGGAGGAGGAGGAGGAGGAGGAGGAGGAGGATGATGATGATTCTCATGCTGATGGTGACGTTGATGCTGGTGCTACTGATGATGAGGGGGATTGCCATTATTGCGGCGATGACCATGATGATGCCGCTGATGATGATCGATGAACGCACGATCCGACATTTCGAGTTCTCCGCCCCAACAGGCTCCCAGAAGGCTCGAGGAGGCCCTGCAGAGGCCGGCGAGGCCCCAAGGAAGCCCCCACGAGGCTCCGCGGCGGCTCCGGAGAACCCCCCCAGGAGGCCCCCAGGAAGCTCCCAGGAGGCGTCAGAAAGGCCCCCCCAGAGATCTCCGAGGATCCCTCAGACGCCGCGTCGCCGCCTGCATCCTTGCAACCGCACTTCCGCCTGATCACAGGCCTCTAAGCCGCAGCGCAGGCCCGGTGGCGAGATGGGCCGGAGGCCATTCGATATGTCGGCCACCCAGGGGGCCCGAATATGACCACTATCGCCGCCGAGATTGGGATCATCCTCCGTCGGTGGAGGCACACCGCCGACATTGGTGTCAACCTCTAGGCTTCCTAGGCCTCCGACGTCCACCCGCTTGAGCCCAAGGGCCACAAGGCGCACGGCAGGCTCGCGTGATCGGCGGGGCCCCTGGCGCCGCGCGCCGCTCTCCGACGGCGGGGAGCGGCGGGGGCGGAAAGGGGGAAAGCCAGCCCGCCCGCTTGAGCCCAGTGGCCACGGGAGCACCGGGAGGCTGGCAACACGCGATGGCGGCGCGCGCGCGAATGGGGTAGCGCCGGGGGGGGGGTGGGGCGCCTTCAAAAAATGCGGGGGGGCTTCTCAGAAGAGGCCGGGGGCCCTCTTAGGGAGAGCCTGGGGGCCTTCCGAGAAGAATTCGTAGAAGCCGGGAGGGCTTCTGAGAAACCACCGGCCTTTTAGACGCCCGCCCGCTTTCTGAGAAGACCGCCCCCTCGCCTCGCCCAATGGCCACGGGAAAACTGCAAGTTCGTATCGTGACGACGTCGGCGTTGGCTCCTGACACCGCGTGGATCGTTCAACCCTGAGCGATAACGGCTTCCCGATAGTGCGGATCGTCCGATCTCGGCCGACTCCGGGCAACTGGCGGCGTTCAACTTTGACCGTCTGTGCTGGGGTCGCCGCCGCGTCGACACGACAGGAATCTACCGAAGCAGGAGGCTGGAACAGGCACCGATGTATCCACACGCGGAGCCTGCGGAAGCCACCAGCTGGCCACACATGTCGGAGGGACGGCTTTCATCCGACCGCAGGAGGGCCTCGCGCTGGACAAACAAGTGGCCACAAACGCATCCACTCCTCGCCCAGGCCAGCCACGTCATGTGTATCCAGCGTTCTGCTGGACAGAAGAGGGTGAGGAATCTGATGCACATGTCGAAACAGGTGTCAAGGTACCCCTCTCCGGGCAACACGATCGCAATATGTGGCGCAGCCTAGCGAAGCAAGACGTCTGCAGAACTGATGGCGACAGGAAGAAATACTTCCTTTGCCAACATTTCGCATCGACCGCTTTCTGAGTATTTGGATTGTACCAGGAAGGGTACACTCGCATACATGCACGTGGTGTTGGGGATCGCGCGTCCGTGGAAACATAGCCGCGGCGGGCTAATTCCGTCATGGGAATCGCGAAGAAGCCGTCAATGTTGCAGTCGTGCACAAAGTAAACCATGAGGACGTCGAACTCGTCCGCATTGTATGCGCGTGCTCTGCCTGTCGATCCCCTGTGCAAAAAACAGTCATAACGACTCCGCTTCGAGGTCGCCATGCCACGAGACTTGTTCTGAACACGAATGCTGCCGTCGATGAGCATATCGACTGGCCCATACGCATCACATGGTGCAGTGACTGTCAACCCTGCTGCGCAGAATAAGTTCATGGCAAGCTTGTGAACAACAAGCTCTGCTTTTTGAGTATGTGAACGAGGCACGCTCCAAGCATCAGCTGACTGTCGGAAGTAGTCGTGGTTGTTCCATGTATAATGTAACATTGCTGGCAGATCGCGCCAATCGCATCGATGGGCATCCCATTTGCCACCCGCAGAAATGTGTATATATTGACACGCCACGTCGCGACCTGGAATGACCCACAGCAAATCCCCATCCAAGGCTACGCACACTAGTAACAAACCTCCGTACACGTTTGTTGCTTTAAACACGTAAGTACCATTGGGCCTTACCTGTGCAGATTTGACTTGGATCCCAATCCAAGAATCGTCGGAGTGTGAACTTGGGCGGAAGATTCCGTCAGCTACAATCCCTTCGCCCAGCCAACGTACCTCTAATGAATTGCCGACGCGTTCCTCGACTGCTAGTTTCGCAGCTGCCTGCTTTGCATGGGCAGTGCAATCTCGAGCCGCACGTTCGTGCCGACGGACTGCGCAAGTGCCGCTTGACGCCGATCTGGCCTCCTCGCTCATGGTAGCAGTCAGCCTCGGTGTCGTGTAATACTTGCGTGTGTCACAGGTGCGGCGTATGACAATAGCACGAACATGGGCCGCCACAGGGCCGACCACTGCATGGTCCGACTTGTGCTGCCGCTGGTTCAAGAGCAATCCGATGTGCCTTTGTTTGACCATTCTGTTAGACGAAGCGCCCATGGCGCGGCAGAATCGGCCAGACATGCCTGTTGCCACTGCCAACATCATGCTCCTCTAAACCTCAACATATGTTTGCGCCAAATGACAAATTGCATCGAAACTACTTGAGCCAGAGCGGCATGAATCAAATTAGCTACGGAAGCATGCGGAGCAGGGAGAGGGCGCTCTCTGATGCGATACTTGCATGCTAGTCTCCCCCCCGGGACCCGCCGAAAGGTGGCCCACTGCGGCTCCAAGATTTGCCACGCAGGGCCCAACGAGGAGCGTAAGAAGACCCCAAGTGGCCCCAGCGGACGAGGAATAGTGGTTATGTAAAAATTGTTGCACCTGTTTTGGTGGAGACGGGTGTAGTGATCGCAACGGTGATGGTCAGGATGGCGATGGTGCTGGGGATTTTCGAAGATGGCGATGATGAGGTGGGTAAGTCGCAACGAAAGAACAAGCCAAAGCCCCGAATACAGCCCTCAAAGCTGGCGAGGACGGCCGAAAGTAAACTCAATGACATACCACACCTAGGACTTCCCCCTGGTGGACCAGGGTGAATTCCCGCCATACCTTTCACAGTGGAACAGCGCCTTGAACGGACCCAGCTCATGCAGTTCAAGCCCATTGCCCCCCCCACGACTTCATGCGGCGCCCAAGCTGATGATGCCGTTCGGACTCTAAAGGGGGTCCCAGGAAGCCGCGACCGTCGCCGTCGTCGCCGTCGCCGCTGTGGTCGCTGGAGCCGCCGTCGTAATGGGGGTCGCCGTCTTCGCCGTCGTCGCGTTCCAGACCTTTGGCTTTCCAACGGAGGGCCGAACAGCATCGGAATCACCATCCTTTTCCTATCCGAAGAGGGCCTCTACAAAGCCCAAGATAGCTCCGAGAGGGCCCACAGGCCCCCAGGAGGGTTCCCTTCCATGTTCCTGGTGGGTGGGCCAGTCTACTGGACAGGAGCATCGCTGGAAGTGCCTTGAGGCTTCGGGGCGATGGTGAGGAGGGGCCTGCAAGTGCAGGCGACGACTGAATTTGGCCGTCGGCCGTCCCCACCCCGCGTTGACAAGCTATCCGGCAATATAAACTGCTGCCGTGGCAATTAGCGCCTACAGGCGCCTTTTCGCGCAATTCCTCCTGCTCTTCGTCCTTCTAGTCGTCCTCCTCCGCGTCCTCGCCCTCGTCGTCCTTCTCCTGCTCCTGCTCCTACTCCTGCCCCTGCTCCTGCTCCTGCTCCTGCTCCTGCTCCTGCTCCTGCTCCTTCTCCTCCTCATCCTCTTCCTCGTCATCCTCATCCTCATCCTCCCAGGCCGAGGGCGGAGGAAATCGAGCAATCATAATCGATGGAAACAGTCGAGCAGCACTGGTGGGCAAGCTTGCGGCTTCGCTCAGGAAGCGCCCTGAAGAAGTCCTGGCCAGCCTCAACTACGGGCAGGAACTTTTGCTTAGCGTGTCGCGGCGGCGGACCCTGCGACACACTATGCCTTGCAAGCTGATCGCGTGTCGCCCTGCGTGGGGAAGGAGGCTGGGAAAAGCTCGGAACGTTGATGCGTGGGGGCGGGTGACGTCGTGCTTCGCCTGTCGCGCCGAAGCGACGTGGGCCAGGACCGGCGGTGCGACACGCTAAGCCAACGTTCCTGACCGTGGCCCCCCATACGGTGTGGCGACGGGCCTTCCGAAACGTCCCCGCGCCTGGACGTGCACAGCTTCCCGTGGAGTCCGTGGAGCCCGAAGCGTCCTTCGTCGCCGGCCGCCGCCGCGCCCCGCCTCCCGAGGGCCCCCAGAAGCCTCCGCAGGCCGCACAAAGCGTGGGACAGCCGTCGCGAACTTCCTCAGCGCGGAAACGCGAAGCGCTTGCAGCGCGAGAAAACGAATGAGCGACGGGAGCTTTCTGGCCGCTCCTCCGCTCGCTGCCTCCCTCGCCCTCGGGTGCAGCTCCTGGTGGAGCTGGTGCTGCTTGTCGGCGCTCCTCCGCCATCTCACGCGCCGGTCTCTCTCACACGCCTGGCGCTCTCGGTGAGGGCGGCGGTGGTCGCCGTCCGAACAAAAGCCCCTCGAAATGGATTCATCCTGGCCAATTTTTCGGGCGGCGTCCAACCGTGGCCGCGAGAACCTCAAAAAAAGCTGAGAAACCTCCAAAACGACTCGTTGTCGTCGTCGTCGTCGTCTTCGTCGTCGTCGTCGTCGTCGTCGTCGTCGTCGTCGTCAGGGCGGCGGGCCTTCCGACGCGTCCCTGCGGCTGGAGGTGCGCAGCTTCCAATGGAGCCGGGCGTACTCCGTCGCCAGCAGCCGCCGCGTGGCGTCGCACCTCGGCGGAGCCGACAGCTCTAATTTGGTTTCCCAGCATTTTTGTTGTTGTGTGTTTGATTTTTTGGTTCTGAAGGGGATCTGTATCGTCTCTTCCCTCCCCAACGTTTCTTGTTTTTGTTGTGTGGGCGTGCGTGATTGAAACAAATCAGGTTTGCTGTTTTCGAAAGGGGGGCACGTCGAAAAGAAGAGGAGGGAGGAGGTCACCGGGAGTAGCGAGTCTGGCCGATGGGCGTGGAGAGAGGCTGGTCGAAGGGCGTGGAGGCAAACTGGGTGACAGTGCGGTAGGGCGCCTCCTCCTCCTCCTCCTCCTCCTCCTCCTCCTAGAGGCTTTTCTTCAACATGATTTCTCCTATTGACAGATGCTGGCGAGGGCTCAGCTGCCGACGTCGCTCGAGCGCTCGACTCTGAGGGCATCGGGGCTCCAGGGCCCCAGTGGGGAAAAGCAAGCCGCGCCGCCGCAGTGACGGAGAGAAAGGGCCAGATTCTTGCTGCTCGTCCTCTTCATCCCTCCTTCCTCCTCCTTCCTCTCGCTCGCGTCCTTTCCCTCCTCCTCCTCCTCCTCCTCCTCCTCCTCCTCTCCCGTACCGGGGGAGGGATGAGGAGAGGGATGACGAAGAGGACGATGAGGAGGAAGAAGATGAGGAAAATGATGAGGACGAGGAGGTGTGAGCCGGTTGGGTCTCAGGTGGTGCTAACACGACGGCTATGCCCGTTCTCCCTTCTTCACGCTTCCAAGCATGGACTGTGTGCGCCTTTTTTGGAAGACAGCCGTCTGAGAGTCCAAAGCCGTGCCAAAGCACCATTCCTGGGACTTCAACGCCGCGAATCAATATGACTGTTTCGTCCTGACCTTCCTGTTGCATCGTGCCAGAACCTCACTCAACGTTACGGTTGCGTCCTGACATTCCTGAATCGTGCCAGGACACCATTCCTGAGACTTCAACTGCACGACATCTTGAAACTGCTGCACAATCTTAAAACGAATGTGCGCGTCGCTCAAGCGAGAGCCACATTTTGACAAGGAGCCGCCCCATACGTGAATCTGCTGCACACTTTTAAGACGAATGTGCGCGGCGCTAAGGCGAGACTTGCATGTTGAAAACGTAGCGCCCTCCGTCTTTGAATCTGCTGCAAAACTGAAGACGGGTGTGCGCGGCACTGAGGCGATAACCACATTTTGAAAACTGTCCGCCCTCCATCTACCAAGCTGCTGGACAATGTTGAACCGAACGTGCGCGACGCTGAAGCGTGAACCACATTTTGAAAGCCACCCGTCCTCCAGCGGTGCAGCTGTTGCAGCTGTCAAGCTCTGGGACCATACATGGTGAGGACGTCTCAGGCGGAACGCCCGGCCCGCCCTACCGCCACGTCTGGGGGTGCGATAGGGGGGAGTTGTTTAAACGAAAATGGGATGTTGGAGGAGGACGGGGAGGATACCCGACACCCCTAGTACCACACTTTTGTTTTAAAGTGAAAACATCCTCAAACCCTCGTCATCCTCGTCCTCGTCTTCGTTCCACTCCTCTTCTTCCCTCCTCCTCCTCTTCTTCCTTCCTCCTCCTCCTCCTCTTCCTTCTGCCTTCTCCCTCCTTCTCCTCCTCCTCCTCCTCCTCCTCCTCCTTCTCCTTCGTCGTCACCTTCTTCCGATATGGGCAAACCGTCGCGAAGGGCGAAAGGTGGGAAACGGAGACGGGGGGAGGACGCGAAGGGGTGGCGGGCAGGAGGGTGACGGGAGGAGGGCAGAGGCAACGCGAGAGGAGCGACGAGAGGAAGAGAGAGGGGAAGCGGCGGGCAGGGCCTCTTCCTCATCCTCCTGGACCTTCTCGTTCTTCTCTCGTTCTTGACCTCCTTCTCATCCTCGTCCTCTTCCTTCCCTCCTCCTCGATCTTCGACCTTCTTCTCCTGCTCCTGCTCCTCAGTGTCATCATCCTCCTCCTGCTCCTCCTAGTTTGCGCCCTCCTCCTCCTCCTCCTCCTCCTCCCACCTCCGACGATGACGAAGTCTATGACAACGACGGCGAAGACGATGACGATGACGACGAACACGAAGACGACAGCAAAGGAAACGACAACGGTCGACAACGGTTGGCAACGACGACGATCCTAGAAATCTGCTGTCTTGATGATTTCAATACGGGGTCCCGGAAGTCCCGACCCCTACCAGGGCTTTTCATCCCGAGTCGTTTTCTGACGGTCCCAGAGTCCGAGAACTGCCCCAAGAGGCCAAAACCAGCCTGAAACCTTCTGATGTGTGTGTGTGTGTGTGTGTGCGTGTGTCTGTTTCAAGACGTTGGCGACGACGACGACGACCAGCGAGAACAAGGACGGCGAAGACAAGGGCGATGGCAAAGACAACGACGACGGTCGACGATTGCCGGCGACGACGATCCCAAACATCCGATGTCTTGTTATTTCCAAGGCGGGGTCCCCGAAATCTCGACCCACTCCCCAGGACTGGTTTTGCAGCCCCGGGTCGTCCTTTGACGGCCCCAGGGCCCGAAAACGGCCCCGAGGATGCCGAACACAGCCAAAGCCTCGGCTACACGCAAGAGTGACCTTACAATGGAGGCCCGACCACAAGAAACCTTCCACCAGCAACCCAACCCTGAGACCCCAGGACGTCCATCGATGTTTGGTGTGGGAATCTCATGCGTTATGGGGCCCAAGGACACACAAATAAATACACACAAATCCCAGGATCCCCGATTTTAAAACGTATTTTTTCTGGGTGTTCGTTTTCCGCCCCATTTCCCATATTTTCCAATCTTTTCCTGGGAATCGACGATTTATTGTGCCTGTGTGTTTTTTCCCCTCTCGAAAGGGTGGCCCTGGGCAACGATGACCTTTGGGTGCGCGGCGTGCCGACCGCTGCACGCGGTGCGGCCACGGCGGCCTGCGTGCCTTGGGTGCGACCCTCCCGCGCCCCTCGAACGCCGAGAAGCCGCCCACCAGCGGCCACTCCGGCGAAGGGTCGCTCTCTTACGTGTAGCCGACAGACCCAGGCAATACCGAGGGAGGTCACCACGAAAGGAGTCGCCACCTGCTCCGGACACGGACGACATCTTTCTGGAACCCCTAAAGAGGACCCCCGATGACTCCCGAAGAGACGCCCCCGAAAAACCTCCTCGCTCCTCGATCCTCGATCTCCGAGAGGAGGTGGTGAACCCCCACCCCCCACTGGTGACAGAGGGGTAACGATGAGGGGGGACCGGCCTGGGGGGGAAACGTTGAGCTGGAATCGGCGACACATCGCCGATAGATCGGCGACCGACCCCCGACCGCGCACCCGCACGCTCCGGAGCAGGGTGCGCGGCCGGGCCCCTTTTGGCGATCGCTGGGCGATGGGGGGTCGATGCGCTCCCCCCCTCAGCCTGTTCCCCCCCCTAACGTTACCCCTGATTGCTGGTGGCCCCCTCTCCAGACCCCCGACGTTATGATTTTGGCATGACGTCGACCCCCAGAAAGGTTTCGACCCCTTCCCCGGGACCAGCTTTTCCTCCCGAGTCGTTTTCTGACGGCCCCGAGGCCCGGTAAAAGGGCCCCCCGAGGCCGAAGATGGCGAAAAGCCTCCCGCCGTGCTATTTTTCCATTGCTCGAGGGGGTCTGGGAACGCTGCCCCTGACTGCTGGTGGCCCCCTCTGGCACTGCCCCCCTTAAGTCGGGCAGCTCCCTCTACAGGAGGAATGTTCCAAAGTAGTGACAACATGTGATTACTTTTGACTATCATTGTATTATTTGGACGCCCAGAATGGGCACGGAAAGAACGGGTACAATGCCCAACAACAAATGTTGTCCCAAACCATCAGCGGCCGCTGTTGGGCAGGCGGCCTTCTGTCTCGAAGGGACACAGGCCGCGGCGGCGTGGACAGCGAGTCCTGTTCAGAATGAACAGGATCCGCTGTTAGGCATGGTGCCTATTCTTTCCGTGCCCATTTCGTTCGTGCAGATATAATTCCTTAAGATTTGTCCTCCAAAATCCGCCTGTAGGAGGACGCGCCCGACCGAACACTCCCTGCAGGACGCCGGCGACGACGCCCGCGCGAGGCCGCCCGCGAGGGGCCGCCCCCGAGCGCCGCGCGGCGGCAGCACCACGGGCGCGGCCGCGGGCGTGCCGGGGGCTGCGGCGGCCAGCGCGCAGAACTCGCGGGCCGCGCGCGCGCCGCGCGGGGTCGGGGGGCGCTCTTCGCGGGTCTGGAAGAAGAAGAAGAATTCGCCGGCCCAACGGGCCAGAGGCGTGCTAAGATCTCCGGTAACTGGTTAACAATTCTCTAGTTCGCGCGCGCGGGGCGGCCCCTGGGGGTCCCCGGACGAAAAGTACCCCGGGCGAGTCCCGGCTGATCCCCGGGCGACTCCACCAGAGCGCTCCATGAGCGCACCAACAGGGCTCCGAGACGTCCCCGAGAGCCCCAAGAAAGGCCAAGAGGCCCCCAAGAGGCCCCCAAGATGGTACACGAGGGGTCCGACATGCCACAAGATCGCTCCAAGACGCCCAAGATAGCCCCCAGACGCCCCAAGAGGCCTCCAAGAGCACTCCCAAGAGGGCCCCAGGAGGCAAAATTCATTGCTTTTCCTTAGGTTTTTGAAAGATTTTGGAGCTTCCACCTTTTCGGCTTCCCGACGCCCCAAGACGGCCCAAGAGGCCCCCAAGATCGCCCCAAGAGGGCCCAAGAGGCCCCCAATAGGGCCCCAAGATGGCCCAAGAGGGCTCGAAGACGGCCCAAGAAGCCTCCAAGACGGTCCAAAAGGGCCCCAAGAACGCACCCAAAGGGGCCCCAGAGAGGGAACACGAAACAACATCCCAAGAGGCCCCCAAGATGGTACACGAGGGGTCCGACATGTCACAAGATCGCTCCAAGACGCCCAAGATAGCCCCCAGACGCCCCTAGAGGCCTCCAAGAGCACTCCCAAGAGGGCCCCAGGAGGCAAAGTTCATTGCTTTTCCTTCGGTTTTTGAAAGATTTTGGAGCTTCCACCTTTTCGGCTTCCCGACGCCCCAAGACGGCCCAAGAGGCCCCCAAGATCGCCCCAAGAGGGCCCAAGAGGCCCCCAAGAGGGCCCCAAGATGGCCCAAGAGGGCTCGAAGACGGCCCAAGAAGCCTCCAAGACGGTCTGAAAGGGCCCCAAGAACGCACCCAAAGGGGCCCCAGAGAGGGAACACGAAACAACATCCCAAGAGGCCCCCAAGATGGTACACGAGGGGTCCGACATGTCACAAGATCGCTCCAAGACGCCCAAGATAGCCCCCAGACGCCCCAAGAGGCCTCCAAGAGCACTCCCAAGAGGGCCCCAGGAGGCAATTCATTGCTTTTCCTTAGGTTTTTGAAAGATTTTGGAGCTTCCACCTTTTCGGCTTCCCGACGCCCCAAGACGGCCCAAGAGGCCCCCAAGATCGCCCCAAGAGGGCCCAAGAGGCCCCCAAGAGGGCCCCAAGATGGCCCAAGAGGGCTCGAAGACGGCCCAAGAAGCCTCCAAGACGGTCCAAAAGGGCCCCAAGAACGCACCCAAAGGGGCCCCAGAGAGGGAACACGAAACAACATTTCGAGCCCTCGGCCCTAAGAAGCCCCCACGAGGCCCCAAGAGGCCCCGAAGAGGCCCCAAGAGGCCCCCACGAGGCCCTCAGGAGGCCCCCAAGAGTCCCCCAAGCGGCCCCAGGAGGCCCCCCAAATGCCCCCCCGAGCACGCAAGCAAGTGCAAGCGATGCTACAATGTGCTCTCCTTTCGGTAGACTCCCAACGGGGCCCCTACAGACTTGCAACAAGCGTCAAGAACCTGCCCAAAAAGCACTGTCTAGGAGCGTTCACAAGTGCCGCGAAGAAGCCCTCCTTACGCCGGAAAGCCCGGAAAGCCGGGTGGGGTGAGCTGTTCTTCTCACCACCGCGCCCTCTCACACAATGGCTTCCGCACGCCGCCCAGAGCGCGACGTTCGGCTCATGCCCCCAGAACGCTCCAAGAGCGCGCCAAAACGGCACCGGAACGCCCCCGAAACAATCCAAGCGGCCTCAAGTCGCCGAACAATCGTTCCAAATCGCCCAAGATGACCTCCAAGACGGCCATTACAATCAAAAATCGTCCCATTCCCAGAGGAACATGTACACTTCCCGCATGAACGGCGTTTCGAGTTTCACAGCGCCTCAGACTACGCAAATAACCCCCAACATCGCCCCGAGACAGCCCAACAATCCGCTAAAATCGGCCCAAGACGGCCCAAGATAACCCCAAGACGGCACAAGAGAGCACCAAGACCGCCCAAGAGGCGCCCAAAGGGGGATTCTGCCCCTAGGAGCACCTCAGAAGCCACCAACATCCCGCCAATAAGTCCCCCAAGACGCCCCAAGAACCACCCAAGAAGCCCAACAAGAAGCCCCAACGACCCCCAAACGGCCCTTACGGGGCCTCAAGAGGCTTCAACACTGCCTCCAAGAGGTTCCCGAGACGCCTGGCAAAAGAACCCCCAAAGCGCCGCATTGACACCAGGCCCTCGGGCAAACGGCAGACATGAGACTGTATGGGCCGGCGGAATGAGCGAAGCGATTAGATAATACAAATAACAACAATAATAAGCAAAACAATAAAAATCACACTAAGAAGAAGAAGCGGCACAAACATACACTTTTGGAGGTCCTCGCGGATTTTTCGTGGATCTGCGCAGGGGCCTCCGTCCCTGGCGCGCAGAGAGCGCGCCAGGGGCGGCGCAGCGCGGATCCAAGAAGTCCGCGCGGAGCGCCAAAAGTTTACGCATGTTTATGCAGTTTTTCTCATTCGAAGGTCTCCGCCGTCTTTTTTTGTTGTGTGTGTGTGTGTTTGCGTGTGTATCTCGGCTGGCCGCTCTGGCGCGCTCACTGTGGAAGTCCTCCACGTCTGAGCACCCTCCCCCTCCACCCTGCGCGCGGCTGCCCTCGTCTTCGCCTCTCTCTCGCTTGCGCGCGGGACAATTTGCCCATCGGTCGCCCCGATTAGCCCCACGCTAGTGCGGATTGCCTCCGCCTCGCCGCCGACGAAAAACATATGGGTGTGTTTTGTTAGTGTTTTTTGCTTCTTTTTTTTTCTTGTATCCCCGCGTTTCTCCGCGGGATCCCGAGGGAACGGTTTTGTCGGGCCTCGGGATCCCGGGGACGGATCCGGGGCGCCACGCCACACCGGGGGAAAGGGTCGGGAGCTCTGGGGCCGCAGGCTGCCGTGTCCGTGGTCTCCTCTTGCCGGCCACCGTCTGCAAAACGGCCATGCGAAGCGGCGTGCACGCCGCTTCGTATTCGGCCATTTCTATGGCAGTAGGCGATGCAGCTGGTGGCCCAGCTGGTCTTCGAAGCCCGCATGCTGCACGACGGGGTATTTTCAAGCCTTGCGCAAACCCCACCAGTCATGGCCATTGCCTTGCAGCCTGATCCTTGTCGCGGTGCGGCGAGCACGTCAACACAAGTCCCCACCTCCCTCTGAGCGGGCGAGGACGAAGACGACTACGATGCCCTCCGCGACCACGGCGGCAACGGCATCGGCGGCGGCCGTGATGGGATCTGCGACGGCGGCCATGGGTGAGGATGCCTCCGGGGGAGCACCGATGTGTGTGCTGGCGCGCGGCGACGCCTCGGCACTTCTCGCCGAGCCTTGACGCTGTGCGCCGAGGGCATGCGCGGCACAGGAAGGGGACGCAGGACCACGGCACGAGCACCCCTGCTCTGCTGCTCCTCCGCCCTCCCAGAGATGTGTGGGGGGCTCCGCTCCACCCCTCTGACCCTCCTCCTCCTCCTCCTCCTCCTCCTCCTCCTCCTCCTCCTCCTCCTCCTCCTCCTCCTCCTCCTCCTCCTCCAGTTGCCACCTCGTGGCAAGAGGGCAAGCACAGCACAGGATCGTGGAAAGCGGAGGTCCGACGGAACCCGTGGAGCTGCCTCCGCGAGGAGGGCCCGGCCCTGGAGCGCTCCCGCCTCGGAACGCTGTGGTGTGTTCCCTCCCGCCCTTGGCCGTTCAAGTTCCCTTCTCTCCGCTCCCCCCCAAGTCTCTCCCCTTTCCCTTCCCTTTCTCCCCTTCTCCCCATCCCCCTCTTTTTTTTTTTTTTTGGGACCCATAGTGGCTCAGGAGGCTCCAGGGGGTCCCAGTTGAAGGCGGTCGACACCTTGGTCGAGCAGTCCGAGGAGATCGTGGCGAGGGGGGGAGGCCCACTGTCCGTAGGGTTTCTCCCCATCCCCCTCTTCCCTCTCCTCCAAATTCACGGGCATGCCCATCGAAATTCACAAGTCACCGTGCCTCCGGTACCCCTTTTTCCACTTCCCTCCCCCCTCCCTTCCCTCAGCCCTCCTGCTTGAGGATCGTACTCATCGCAACATTTACAACAAACGCTCTACCTCCAGCACACCATCAATCAACATCGAGCCGAGAAACCTGATGACATCGGAATGCGCGACGAATCGGGGTGCGTCGGCACGCAATCGGAATCGAATCGATTCGGCTGCGCCAGGCTGCATAACAACACATACGACATCGGGCCGCATCGGATCGTCGGAATATCGGAATCGAGCAGGATCGAGGTGGTCGGAATCGATACCGAATCGAATCAATCGGATCGACATTGACCCTGCCTTCTCCCCTCTTCTTTCCCGCTCTCCGGCCTTTCCCCCCTGCCCCCTCGCTTCCACTGCTCCCCGTCTGGTCCCCCCTATTTTTCCCGCCTGCCCTCCCTCCCCCACTTTTCTCAGTAGCAGAAGGAGCAGGAAGAATGGGAGGCACAGGAGCTGGGGGAGGAGCAAAAGGAAAAGAGGTCGCCTTGTCCTCGAGCATCTGCACCTTAAGCCCACCCCCAACCACCCCCGCTGCCTCAACGCCGTGCACTGCAAACAAATGACGACATCTACAACCGCCGCGGCAATAGGCTGCACACTGTTCGGAGGCTGTCCAGAAAAATCGTTTTTCTAGCCGGGCGCGGGGTGAACTTGATGAGTCAGCCCACACCGCTTCATCCAACAGCGCACGAACGGAGGGAATATCATCAGTATCGCGCGCGCAATCTCGTCTTTCCCTGACCTGATTGCAGAGCCTGCCCTGCTCCCGATGTTGGACGAGGTACGCGGGGGGTACGGGGTGTTCTCTGGTTCTCCCGTGAAGCAATTATTTGTCCATGCGCGAACCGTCGATGGAATGAACATGGGCACGCAAAGAAACTTCACACGGTGCCCACCGTTTTGCGGCAATGGTTTCGCCCCGAACAGCCATGACGAGGCACTCACTGCTTCTCCGTTTGCGTGCCCGAAATTCCCGAAGGCAGCGAAAATCATGTCGACACTGGTGTGATTCGTCTGCCCCAGGCGTGCTCGTCACCACCGGCACCGCTTTCGCGCAACGAAGCTTGACCCGCGCGCACCTCCACATCGTGTCTAGCGTGGGAGGGAAACCATCTTTGCCCGGCGATGTCCTTCGAAGACCACGGCGTCAGATCTGGCCGGCGCGTGCATTGGCCAAGCCGTGAAGCATGCTCCTCGAGGCTCCGCTGCCGGCGCTGAGCTCCACAGTGCTCGGTGCTCGCAGCTCTTGGGCACCCGCACCTCTCGCCGCCTGCGCCGCGCAGCCAATCCTCCAAGCCTGGCCCGCTCGAGACAACCCTGTGTGGTGCTGCCCGCGCGCCAGCAGAAACGCCAGTACACGTTACGCCCTTGGGGCCCTGCCGTGAGAACGGATGTATTGACTGTGTATACGTCGACGTCTTTATCTCACGGTCGCCTTACGTCCAGATGTTGGTTATGCGGAATGCGCCGTGTTCTGCCAGCTGCCGAAGTGGCATGGACGAAGGCCGCTGTGCTCCTTGAGCACCTACTTCAAAACACACTTTGACGAATGAGTTGGGGGACGCGTAAGCCTGCCATCTGCACGAATGCGGGGGACGTCATCTGCAAGACTGCCCCGAGAAACAACGAGGGAAGATTGTTTGTAGCATCAATCGGCGACCCTGCTGACCAGTGCCACTCGCGTCCCCTTGCCTGCGAGGCACGGGTTGGAGTATCCTCAGGTCCCTTGCTCAATCCTCTGAGCCTAAGTCCTCCACCCTGAAGATCTTTCAAACGGATCGGACTCCGAACTCTCTAATGTCCTGAGGCTCCCGGCGCGCCCGGGGCGTCTTCCCGCATGACTTCTTCGGGGCCCAAGGACGGGCCAAGTGTGCCCCGATCCGCCTCTGACCTACAACCAGAACGCTTGGGCGGGATGGGCCGACGGACACTCGGTCAGCCGCCCCCTGTGGCTTGCCACTGGGGTGCACGACGCGCCAGATGTCTGGGGAATTGTGGCTCTTTTCCGAAGAACTTCATATGGGGTTTCGGCCCAACACGCTGGCCACCCGGAAAGCTCCTTAAAACCCACCTCTCATGTGTCAAATCGCCTCCAACACGGCTAAGATGGCCCAAGATGGCCCCCAAGATGCCTCCACGAGAGCCCAAGACGGCCCAAGAAGCATCCAAGAGGCCCCCAAGACGGCCCAAGGGGCCTCCAAGAGGTCCTCCAGGAAGGCCAGCAGAAGCCTAAATTATTGATTTCCTATTGGTTTTGAAGGATTTTTACGTTTGCTTGAAAACGGACTTCCGACGGCCCAAGATGCCCCCAAGATTGCCCCAACATCGCCCAATAGGCCTCCAGGATGGCCCCAGGGCGGCCCAAGATGCCACCAAGACGACCCCCAAAGGACCCCAAGGCGGCCCAAGAGACCTCCAAGACTCCGAAGATGGCCCTCAAGACGACCCTGAAGCGCCCCAAGAGGACCCACAGACGGCCCAGAGAGGCTCCCAAGACGGCTTCCAATGGCGTCAGACGGGCCAGGAAAGCCGTAAGACAGCCAAAGAGGCCCCCAAGAAGCCCCCAAAGACCCTAAGAGGCTCAAGAAGGCCCCCAAGAGGCCTCCAAGAGGGTTCCAGAAGGCTCCCAGGAGGCCCCAGGAATGATACAAGAAGCTCCCAAGAGGTCTCTTCATCCTTCTCCTCATCCTCTGTATTACTCCCTCTCCTCCTCTCCTCCCCTTCCTTCCCCACGTGTTCCCCGAAAGGCTTCCAGAACGGCTGGGGGAGCGTGTGGTCCAATAGCGTGGGCCAAACTTTGCCAAAATGTTTGGCCACATAGGCGGATCCTAACAGGCAAGGGGCGGCGGGGATTCGCCTTGGGCGTCTTCGATATACCACCAATCCGAAGTCTTTCACTGGCACCTCCCGCCTCGAACGAAAGGGGGGTCTAGCAAGGGGGGGAGCTGCATGCAGCTGGCTTTCCCGACGCCTCCTGGCGCAAAAGGCGGGCGGCGTGGTCGGTGGCGCCCGGGCGACTGGCGCGGGGGCCACGGCTGGGGCGCCGCACGTATCTGAGGTGCATCGAGGCCAGGCCGTGCAGGTCGGGCGCGAAGCGCGCCGGCTGCTCCTCCGCGGCGCATGGGCGCATCGGCGTCAGCGCCGCTGTCGTCGTCGTCGTCGTCGTCGTCGTCGTCGTCGTCGTCGGCCGTCGTCGTCGTCGTCGTCGTCGTCGTCGTCGTCATCGCCGTCCTCGTCGTCGTCGTCGTCGTCGTCGTCGTCGTCGTGGTCGTGGTCGTCGTCGTCGTCGTCGTCGTCGTCGTCGTCGTCGTCGTCGACTTCCTACCCCAATCCCCTCCTCCAGCCCCCCCTCCTTATGCTCCTAACTACGCATCCCCCCTTCTGCCTCATCCTCCTCCTTGGCTTGTCTTGGCTAGGCTTGCGTCGTGCGAGGTGGACGCCTCCATCTCCTTGTCCTTCAGGCGGTCAAGGTGACAGTGGTTCCTGTTGCTACTCCTCATCCTTCTTCAGGCCTTCTAGGCGAGGGAACTTCTGGGTAACACCTCGGCCCCCTGCATTTCCGCCTGACGAGGAGGGCAGAGGATGAGCATGATGATGACGATGATGATGATGATGACGAGGAGGAGGAGGAGGAGGAGGAGGAGGAGGAGGAGGAGGACCACTGCAAACCCAACGATTTTGAAATACACCTTCCCTCGAAACTTCCTCATCAGAGGCCCCTACAAGGAGTCATTTCCACTGAGGGAAGTGCCCCGCTGGGGGACAAATGTGTGAAAATCCTGAAGCGTGCCAGGACACCGTTCCCAGGACTTCAACGCCACGAGTCAATCTAACTGGTGCGTCTTGACGATCCCGACTCGTACCAGAACGCCATTCCTGGGACTTCAACACCAAGAATCAACGTAACTGTTGCACCCTGACAATATTGAATCGTTCAAAAACGCTATTTCTGGTACGTTAGCCATGAGAACTCGTGAAACTCTTGCAACTGTTTGGAACGAATGTGTGCGGCGCTCAGGCGAGAGCCACATGTTGTGAAAGAATCGCCCTCACCCGTGAAACTCTTGCAACTCTTTAAAACGAGTGTGCGCGGCGCTGTGGCGAGAACCACATGTTGAAAACGACCCGCCCTCAACCTGTGAAACTCTTGCACATGTTTCGATCGACTGTGCGCGGCGCTGAAGCGAGAACTACACATTGAAAACCGCCGGTCCTGAATCCGTGAAGGTCTTGCGATTTTGTTAAACGAATGTGCGTGGCGCGAAAGCGAGAGCCACATTTTGAAAACCGCCCGCCCCCCGTCTGTGAAGCTGTTGCCCGTCTCTGAGCCTCAAGCTCGTAGGTGGTAAAGGAGG